CAACTAAAGATTTATAAATTTAAAATCAGTAATAAAAACCCATTAAATTATTATTTTATCCAAAAAACTTTTAATAAATTAAAATAAAGTAAAAAATAGCCTAACAAATTTAATTACTTTTTAATTTAATTCTTTATGGGCACCTTAAATTAGATTTCCGTTTGTAATAAATTCAATAATGTAAAATAATACTTAAACATATAATATCAAAATTAATTTTCACATTTAAAAATAAAAAAGAAAGTTTCGTTTCAAAAAAAATTTACCTAATTAATTAAGAAACACTTCTATATAATTTCTTTTCAATCATCAACAAAGTCAGTTCCACTGAAAATAATCTACAAGAAACGATATCAAGTCGCGACAAAGAAGTAAAAAAAAACTAAGAGGTGTGGAAACAATCTTGCGAGATCACGACATATGTTCTCAAAATTGATTCTGATTTTACCGCTCATCAATCAAGGCCGTTTCAATGTAACGATACGAACATCGTCTTCCCCAGCGCGAGTTGGCATCGGAACGTCAGAGATTCTTGCATGTCTTGTATCGCTATATCGTTCGTCTTCTTTAATCGACGGCTTAAATCAGATTTCTGATGCATCGCCTGGAACGAAAGTCGCTGTATCGGCCTGTCGATATAGGCGTTAAATCGATGTGTCGCGATATATCGATTTATGGCCCAGTCCTCTAGTAAAAGGTGCCCAATCAAACCGTTTCACCATGAATACACATCACTTGAAAGTTTTATCTAGTTTAAAAGTAAATGTACGGCAACTTTAATGTATAAATTTTTTTCTGGTGACTAATTTATACCCTTGGTTTTCAAAAATTCTTTTTAATTTAAGCTTAACTTTTAATTGAAATTTTCGAGATGTCAATGGCTGTTTACGCATTTAAGTTCTACCTAAGACAAATGATATAACACAGGCGTGTTTTCATGTTTTCGATTATTTCCCTCTGGTACGCGTAAACAGTAAAATTAAAATCAATTCATTAAGTAACTCAAAGATATTTTTTTTCTTTCTTGCTGGATTAACTTAAACAAACCTAACGTAAATTTTTTTTCCTAAACATCAGCCACGAATGTTTCACTCCTAATCGTTATCATCTAAAGTAATTGTCGTTATTAGATAGTTTCCTTTTTCTTATCGAACTAGGTATTTAGGTACTTCATTTAAGTAGCACTAGATATGCACAATGGGCTATTGGCGATGGTCTGGGAAACATTCCTGAGGAGGAACCGAAGGCATGCCATCACAATTTTGATCCTCTGGAGAGGGAATGGTTCTTCCGCTTTGGTACCCAGACAACCTGTGCGAAGTCTAGCACTTGTCGAACTAATAATTTAAGTTGAATCTGGGAATATTGCGGGCAACTAAAATACCATCAGAGAGCCACTAGTGACAGGCGAACCACGCGTCCGAGAACCTTAAAGTAGAGTGTTCAAACTTCAACTGGAATACCATGTCCCATGATAACTAAGCCAGTTTCAATGCTTTCTTGTGCGCTGCAAGTAAAATTTTCGTCATCTCATCTCCAAAAGATAGAATATTCTATAATCAGTCATTTTAATATTTTTTTAGGTTTCCTGTCAAAAGTGAAGATAAAATTCTGCATGCAAAAAGGATTAAATGATTGCGAGGGAAAGAAATATTTCCTAATTCTTGGAAATTAATACAACAGTATATACACTCTATAACAAAAAAAAACGACGCACCAAGAAGGAGTTGCTCGATTGAAACAAAAATTGGTGGATAGGAAGACAATGTACAGAATAGTAAATGATTAAAATTTCAGAATTGAATAATTTATTGCAGAGTTACAGTAACAAGTTCAATAAGGTGTTGACCCATCTCTAGCCTGGATACCAGCTACCACACGGCGTGGCATAGACCGATAAAGCTCCCGAATGGTCTCTTGCGGTATTACCTGCCAAATTCGATCCAATTGTCGAACGAGGTCATCAACATTCCGTGCCAGATGGGAGAGAGATCTGGCAGGCCAAGAAAGAGTTTGACAAGCTTGCAGACAGTTCCTTGCAGCACGTGCCGTATGTGGTCTGGCATTGTCCTGCTGAAAAACCAGCCCAGGGTGCTGCAAAAGGAACGGTAGCAAAATAGGTCTTAGCATATCGTCGACGCCTGTGCAGTAAGTGTACTACCTCTAATGACGACCAAGGGGGTCCTGCTATCAATGGAAATATCACCCCAGACCATAATACCTTGTTGAGGGCCGGTGTGGCGTGCAATAGTGAAGGCAGGATCCTCCCTCTGCCCTGTGCGTCTCCAAACACTTCTTCGATGATCGTCAGGACACAGTTGGAAACAGGATTCGTCGCTAAAGACTATACGTCCCCAGTCGGCATCATTCCAGCCTGATCGAGCGTCGATTTTGCTCGTCTTGGTGCGTCGATTTTTTTTGTTATAGAGTGTATATAAAAACACAAATAATATAAAGGGAAAATCCAATAGTCTTTTTCAAGACACATCTATTGGAATAATTTAATGCGATATTTCTGAATATAGAATAATTATCCTAAGATTAAAATTATTTTTATTATGTGTCCATTTCATATATATATATATTTTGAAAAAAAAAAGTTCAACGGTAATCTGTTTCTAATCTTTCTCCAAATTAAATAATTTTGGTAACATTAGTTGTCTTGAAAAAAATTTCATTTTTATTGCCAAGATGTTAAAATTTGATAAACATGGTAATTGTTTTTGTATTTATTGTTGAATTGTTTATACTACATTAAAAAGGAAAATTTTTAATTAAAATTCCAAGTCGAATTCATAATGACTGTAAAAGAATATAATAATTATCGAAATTGATTCTCCAAAAATCAATGGAATTACTACCCTTGATATAAACGTCCTCGTAAAATCCTTGGAATCGGAAGTCCCGTGGTCGGTCACTGAATAGTACCGTGGGTGCAGAGATCTGGAAAAAATTTCCTTTCCCTTCAGATCTATGTTTAAAAGGTGGAATTTCTCACGAATGAGTGGTGCTCCCGAAGCTAAGTTGCACTTTTACCCTAGCGGTGCTGTCTAGTCAAACGTAAATCGCACCTTCCTGGCTAAATTCGCATCAGCCCAATAAATGGCGAGCTTCGCTTGTCTAAGTCTCTACCATTGTCTTCAGTTAACTTTGAAATGTTTTTGTACCCAAAAGATAAATTAGTTGAAAATTTCTTTTTCTTGTTGTCGAATCTTGCATTATTTATTTGTAAAATATGTTCTATATTTCATTCAAAATGTCTAACAATGACGGAGAATAAAATATGATTTTAATATTAAACTTAATAATTTTTGATTTGGGTTTTTGTATAAACTATTATCAAGCAAGGCTCTTCTCAAAAACAATTAAGCACTATTATTTTGTAAGTTAGGCGAAATTAGAAAATCTGTTTTAGTGCCGTCAATTAAAATTTTAGATACTAATTAATTGTAAAAGTTGCATCTACCGTTACATCGCGTGTCACGATTACACAAATCGAAGTTTTCTAAAATATGCATTTCAAAGGCAGAAAAATAAATGAATAAAACATGTTGGATTAAGTTACTACTTAATATAGGATAATGTTTTTCGTTAACTGGTAATGGGGTATTTAAAGGGCTAAAATAAATAGAACATATACCGCTCAAAACATTACCAATAAGATTGTGTCGGGATTTCTTCAAAGAGGACCGTGCTGGCTGAACCTGGCTCGAACCCAAGTGATGGCTGACTGTTCGTATACTGCACAAACCCACATTTGTATACGGATTATGGGTTCAAG